GAACGCAACATTAAACTTACTTCATTCCATAGCATGTCATGGAGTTTAGGCATAGGATTAAAGATCAAATGCATACCTATTTCTTAACACTCTCTGAAACTATCGATAACTTAAGATATACACACTCATACAGGGGACACATGACCACACCAAGCTATTAATTGTCAGATGTCCTGAGAAATTCGACAGTTTAACCATACACACATAATGTATACGCATGCGTGTTGTTGTTCAGAATAATATACAGTGATTCGCTCTAGTTATCAGGTTGTGTACAATGTATTCGACGCCCTTCCACCTACTGAACAATACCGTGTATTAAAATTACTACATCCATTGGCATGATCTGAAAAACAATTTACATATTCCTTCTGAAACATATTATGCCAAAGAAATTTCCCTTAAAAGTACTGCATGTATCTAATTGTGGAGAGTATAAACGATGCTAAAAGTCTTCTAAACACAATTGCTGACATATACTGTCACGGCTAAGCAGAAATAGAATTAGCAAATACACACGCAAATAAGACCTGGTTGAGTCATAATTATTATTACTCAAGAAGCAATTAGACAACATTACAGATGCTGATATAGAGTCTAAGCTCTTGATGAGGGACCAGGCATCCTTGCATGTGTACTAGTACTTACACTACAGGGCGTCCTGGTGCACGCGCAGCTTCCCGCTGTGTAATTGGGTCGCACGTACATTATCATCACGTGACGTCCTGGGAAGGAGCTGTTGGTAACGCGATACCCAAGGTCACGTGATACACATTTCGGACATATATCGACAGGAATTCCTCATTCCCAACCATTCTCACTTCCATCTTGTTTAGAAGCCTGACATCGTCTTCCCACAGCTCCTTCATCCAGCAATGGCGCCCCAGAACGTGTTCTCGATGTTCCGTCAGTCTCAGGTGCAGGAGTTCAAGGAAGCCTTCACCCTCATCGACGTCAACAGAGACGGCGTCATCGAAATAGACGACCTGAAGAGCATCTACGGCAACCTGGGCAAAGTGCCCGCCGACTCCGAGCTGAAGGAGATGCTGAAGGAGGCCAAGGGGCCCCTGAACTTCACCACCTTCCTCAACCTGTTCGGGGAGAAGATGGGAGGGACGGACGGCGAGGAGACCATCCGTAGCGCCTTCGCCATGTTTGACGAGGAGGGCAAGGGCGTGCTGCCCGAGGAGTACATCAAGGATCTCCTGGAGAACATGGGAGATAACTTCACGAAGGAGGAGATCAAACAGACGTGGAAGGAGGCCCCTATTTCCAAGGGCATGTTCAACTACGTGGCCTTCACCGCCAAGGTCAAGGGCAAACAGGATGATGAGGAAATGGCCAAGGCTTAAACGACTGATGAACTCTCCAGTGAAGGACATTACTTGATATGTGTTTTATTTATTTATGACTGATTGCCTCCGGACATCGCCCTGGGAAAACTGGATGACGAAGACGTGGCAAAGGCTTAACGTAACAAACTATATATTTCACAGTGACATGCACATGACAATGCATGACAAGGGCAATTCCTTATTTTTTTATGAGTGTCCTTCGTTGTCATCGTGCAATGATCCATGTACAACGCTAACTCACGGCGTCGACCAGACAACAACGTGTACGTTGCATGATACCTTGACTTTAGCGTGTTTGTCTGGGGAAAGGTGGCTGTCATGCGAACACGTTAGTATTAATTTATTCACATGTGAATATGTCTGCCTCTTCATCTAAATGCACCGTGTTGTATTCACGATCGTGAATGTCATATATAAGCTCTTGCCTTCAATGAGCTGAATAAATATCGACAGCGACAATGCTTTGTTTCCATTCTTGTTCCATGATTGATTTTTAGAAGAGCTTTCCACAGACTTCACAATACAGTGTCACCTCGTTAATCCGGACGGTATCATTCACAGTAACATCGGCCGGATAAGGAGACATGTAGGAAGGGTAATGTCCGCTGTAAAGAGAGTGTCGTGACAGGAGATGTAGTTGAACTGGGCATTATTCCCGTTCGGTAGCTTCGGTGCAAAAAAGATGTAAAAACAGCAAACTGCTCCAGATACTGTTTGTAATTACACTTCGAGTAGTTCTCCCCTTGCGAGTAGTTTTCCCCCGCTCCTTGGGAGTGTCCGAGAGATGAGGGTCACTGCGAATGTCTGCCACGCTCAGTGTTTCCCTCACCCCTGGTTAAGTATACTAGTGGAACCAAGGGGCAATGGTCAGTATGACTCTAGCAGTAGCGCCCCTGGGGTGTATCCGACGAGAGGACGGATGGGCCAGTCTAAGACCCTGTCTCCAACAATCACATGAACACTGTCGTAAGAGGCGACTAACGGGATCGGGTGGTCAGGCTCGCTGACTTGGTTGATGAATGTCATCGTACCCCAATTGTGTGGACAGATGCTCATGGTGTCAATCACTGGATGGTCTGGGCCAGACACGATTATTTACAGACCGCCGTCATATAGCTGGAATATTGCTGAGTGCGGCGTTAAACAACACACAAACAAACAAAGCATACAAAACGTATTTTCTTTCAAAGCATACATTCTATCTTATGAATACAATGATTTCAACGTCCAGACAAAATCTGTTTAAAATGTTTAATGTGTGCAATCATATACAACTTATACCATATACAGAAACAACGTGAACACTAGGAATATCCGCATAAGTTCACCAATCACGTTTAATGTCACAAATAAGTCACTATTTACAAACACAGGCACAAACACGCCCGAATCTATCACGTGACAACGACACGGGACATTTCAATTTAATTTGAGTGATTCTGGATGCGATTCATTTATACAGACAAGTCACATGTCGCTATATACCCGAGGGGTGGGGGTAGCCATGTGGTTAAAGCGTTCGTTCGTTCGTCACGTCGAAGGCGCGGGTTCAACTTCCCCCGTGTGTACAATGAAGTCCAACCCGTGGTGTGGCAGGAAAAGTGCAAAAAGCGGCATAAAACTCACTCACTCACTCATTGACTATATGGCTGAAATATGCTTATGTGATGTTATCTTGTAACTCACTCACAAACTCGGTTTTAGTAACTCTGGTTACAATGATGCTATAGCAAGCATTTGTCAAGCGTACAATAACCGTTAAACCAACTGAAGATGATGAATATATGGACCTATCACAGTAAGACACTTCCTTCCTATCTTGTCCCTCCACACAGGCAGAAACAGCAATCTTTATTATATACAAGATGACCTGCGTAGAGTGAACCTCGGTAATCGGGACACCGTGCAATACGGACTGAAGTACGTGATGACATGACCTCATGTAATAGACAGTGTAGAACATGTTTGATTAATAAAAGATACACAGGGGCTATGCTTGCATCGTATAAGTTTCTGCGTGTACGCTGTGTATTGTCCAGGGTGGATTATACGCCCAGTGAAGTCTGTTTTAGCGGATAATCGAGACTGGTTATTCTCTGGCGTTGACGTTTTATTTTTATCATAATCATAGCGTGACTGTTAAATGATGGACGTTACTATAAATTGTTTAAATAAAATGTGCTTAAGTTGGTGATAGATTGAAGGACGTCAAACATATTCAAAACACCCCGACAAACAGAATTTTTTTACACTGACTACAAAGTAACGTTATGTTTGTTACAAGATTCTCATCATTCCCCCACTTTCTCTTTCCAATGGAGTTGATATTGTTACCAGACACTATTGTGCCTTAACCAACTACCAGCATGTTCAGAATGAAATAAGTACTTGTCATGGGAGGATTTGTTTTTTTTAAGTTATGTAATATTTTGTAATCCGTTAGTTTACAAGATATTTACACGTACAAAGATAACATCGACATTTGCTTGATACAGAAGTAAATTACATCATCATCTTAAAAGACACTATTTAGTTTGCCATAAGCGTAAATACATGATACATATGTTCGGAGTAACCGTGTTCAACTGTACACTCTGTGTTCATAATGGCCACAACGTCTTGTACCAAGACTGACGTTACATGATCACTAGTAACCAAACTAACGAACACCTCACCGCCGATAGGGGCGCTCAGTTGGTGTTCCCATAGCAAACGGAAGAATTACTGAACAGGGATAAATATATACTGGAATGATATAGAATTAAAAGCTGGATGTCTAAATATTGATACGGTCGACAAAATGGCGGTGGGGTGACGTGGTGCACGTGGACTGCGTGCTCTACATGCATCCGTCTCTGGGTCATGTCGACCCAAACATTCTGTGTACACCTTGCTGATGCTATTCCCTGCACGGATATGCAGGATCCGCAGATTCAATTGTCAGATTGTTCTAAACTTTTTGATCAGCGGTCATCTCCAGGACAACAGGAGAGATAGGTCGCCGTCGGTCCCGTCTCTTGATAATTCGTGAGGTCAAGGTAGGAGGCAGCCTCGGACTGGGGGGTGTCGTAGTCGGGGACAGGGGACTCGTTGTTCATCATCCTCCTCCTCGTGTTGGGGGTGAAGCTGGACGCGGGGCGTGGCATGGGGACGGGCAAGCGGTTGCCTGTGCCGTACATGGGGTTCGCGATCTCAGAACCATCAGCAAAGTTTTTTCTTTGAGGATTAGGGCTGATTTTTCGAAAGGAAATATATCTATTTGCTGTCTCGTCGGAAGAACCAATCTCATCATATACTTCATCTGGTTTGGTCACTGTGATGATGGGGTCCGTGGAACACGTGGCGGAGAGCGACGGATGCCTTCTATTGTCAATTCTACGCCTGGGACAGAATACATAAAGGACGGTATTAACAACAGTTGACTTAATCATGGGATTAAATTGCGTACTTCAGTTCGGATTTGTTGACTGGTATTTTCGGTGTTACATGCTAGCAGTGATCAGCTGATAATGTTTTTTGAAATTGGGAAAATCAGTGTAAAACTTGAGTTTATTAAAAATGTAAGTAAATGTTTGGAGCCGATTTATATTGAAGGGCGCAATAGCACTGTAGGTTGATAAGAAACTGTCTAGAGAATAGATAAATACTTAAAACATGATGAAACAGCTTGATTATAAAAACAAGAAAAATTAAAAATTAAATTCATTACGTAAACTAACATCAATTAGTATCTTGTTAAAACGACCCCCTTCGACAGAGATATGACTCCTTGTATTACAACTGTGGAGTCATTATTACCCCTAGTTTTAAGAGGCTTTGGCAACCCCTATTAACAACGTACCAATACGGCACGAGCATGGGGTCCAAAAATAACTTAAAACAAGGATGACTAATGACACACAAGATTTGGAGTCTCTGTTTCGTGTGGACGTGGGACTCTTGGACTCGTCATGGTCTGAACTTGTACAATTATGTATTCATTAGAAATATTTGTTGGGCAAAAATTCCAAACATAGATGACGTTAATTTGAGTTGTTGATGAGAAGGTAGAGAAGATAGTTTGCCACGCATCCTACCTTCTGATGTAGATGATGACAGCGAGGATGATGATGACAACAGCAACTGCTGCAACGCACCCGCCGATGATAGCACTTGTGTTGGAAGACGACGGCTGGGTTGTTACTTCTGTAAAGGCATTTGTTAAACTTACTTATTTCACAAGTACATTCATGTCATTTCTCTGTATTTGTCAGTATATCTGCACCAGCTTATCTCACCACGCGGGCGGAATGAAAGCCTTGTGGTTAAAGCGTTCGCTCGTCACGCCGAAGCCCCGGGTTCGATTACCCACATTGGCAAAATGTGTGAAGCCCGTTTCCGGTGTCCCACGACGTAATAATGCTCGAATATTGCTAAAAGCGGCCATAAACCATACTCACTCACTTATCACCACGCTCTCCATTTCACCTTCAATGGAACCCAATCAACACCAACCAACCGTACCTATCCTAACGCAACAAATCCATCCCAACCCAGTCCACCACAGCCCGACACATCAAGGCTGGGACGAGTCCGCCTTTACTACGCGGGTACTCGACCTACGGTTCCCCGACCCGACCCGCTACCTGCTGTACACCAGCCTTCAGACTTACATTCACAGAGAAGTATTGTTTTACGCAGCGCCGCTTTTAGCAACAGTCCAGCAATATCACGGGGGGGGGGGGGGGGGGGGGTGCACAAGAAATGGGCTTAACACGTCGAACCCAAGTGGGTAATCGAACCCCGGTCTTCGGTGTGATGAACGAAAGCCAAGACCAGAAGCCACCATACTCCACTCCGCACTCATCCCGCCTCATCACCTTGACCCTTGTGCCGCTCCAGCTTCCTTGTGCCATGTGACTATTTCAAAAACTCATAAAATCAGGCTTCGGTATGTATTTGAATGTACAATGATATTTAGAGGTCCCAAATGTCACCGGTGTTTGGACAGTACAACATCACACAAACGTTCATGGTTAATCTACCAATCAGGGAAGTGATAACTCCCACGGGGTTGTATCATCTGAGCAGGCTGTGCGTTGTAGGGGGGACTGTTTTAGTTTATTATTTTGTCATTATATGTCTTGCAGTGATAATTATAACGTGTCAGTGCTATCATCCCTCAGATATGTTTGATATTACAAACAAAGAAATCAAAGCTTAGACTATATGTTAACTAACTGCCACTAAGACACACTACAAGGAACGAAGCAATTTCTCAACAGAACAGCGACACAATGATCAATGCTCCTCTGCAGGGTCATATTGTCAAGCGTGTCCCATTATATTTAGGACCTATGACGATCAGGCGTAGAATAGGTCTTCAGCAACCCTGCTTGCCATAAGAGGTGACTATGCTTGTCGCAAGAGGTGAATAACGGGATCGGGTGGTTAGGCTAGCTGACTTGGTTGATGCATGTCGTCGTATCCCAATTGCGTAGATCGATGCTCATGATATCAATCACTGGGTTGTCTCCTCCAGATTCGAGTATTTATAGCTGAAATATTGCTGAATGCGGCGTTAAACAACAAACAAACAAACAAACAAACAAACAACAAAAAACATTATATAGAATCCCCGAGGTTACCTGCACAGAGCAGCTCCTGTGAAACATTCCACTGTCCGCTAGCCATGCATGAGATCCGAGAGGAGAGGGCAGACCTGTATCCGTCACTACACGTATAGCTGCACACCCTGCGCGGATATGGGCTACAGCCTTGTGTCAGTGCTCCATTCGTCATGGACGTAGGACACACGGTGGCTGTTGAAATAAACTTGATCATTTGTTTGGTTTCTAGGTCAACTCTTACCTTCTTGTTTAGTTTCATTGTTGTAGCTAAATCAAAGAGAGAGCGACGGGAAAAACACTTATATTTTTAATCTATTTGTTTTCTTCTGAAAGTGTTTCTGTTTCCTACGGCAAATTCCTAATTTTAATTCTTTATTCAAGACCTGGTTAACGCTTCAGCCATGTCTGGGCATAATACATAAATACGCACCGACAAAAGAAGCGCGAATACCATACATGTTGGTTAATGTGTGAAGAATTATTCATATTCAAGAGATATTAGATTGGATATTATATGCACAAACGAACATACTGCTCTGCTGTGTGAACCGACACTCATGAACGCATCACATGTGACGTCATAGATCCATGACTCGAGATGCACCATTTGCATCGTGCAGGACTAGCTGTAAAGTTTGATAAATCACGTGCAGCATATCGTTATAAGAATAGTGAGTGAGTATGGTTTTACGCCGCCTTTAGCAATATTCCAGCAATATCACGGCAGGGGGACACCAGAAATGGGCTTCACACATTGTACCCATGTGCGGAATCGAACCCGGGTCTTCGGCGTGACGAGCGAACGATTTAACCACTAGGCTATCCCACCGCCCCGTAATAAGAATAAAGACACTGTGGCAACACTTGACTGTAAATTATGTCAGTGCTACGCATTGGAAACATATCTTCTTAACGTACATGCTGTTTCTATGGTTCGCGTTTCTTTTGGCGGTGAGTATACTTGATGCCGGCGTCGAATGCTTATGGCGTCCAACGTATATGTGGTATATATCTTCTTCTTATACATGGAAACAGATACAACGATATGTACATAACTGCTTACCTCCGTCACAGGTCTTCCTGTCGTCTTTCAAGTCAGTTCCGTCTGGACATGCGCACACCCTATCGGAAGTTGTAGGCAGACATAGAGTACTACAGTCGCTGTTACTGGCCAGACACCTGTTGTTTACTGGAATAGACACCTGATTACGTACACGCCATTGCTCCCATCTTGACATACCGTCATGGTATTTTGTTACAAACAATCTCAATGTGTGTAGGAGGTTCAACAGTTACTGCATGAGCTATTTCTGGGTTAATGCATGTTTTATTTCTGAGTTACTGCATGAGGTATTTCTTGGTTAATGCATGTTTTATTTCTGAGTTACTGCATGAGGTATGTCTGGGTTAATGCATGCTTTATTTCAGAGTTACTGCATGAGATATTTCGTGGTTACTGTATGTTTTATTTCTGAGTTACTGCATGAGGTATTTCTGGGTTAATGCATGCTTTATTTCTGAGTTACTACATGAGATATTTCTGGGTTAATGCATGTTTTATTTCTGAGTTACTGCATGAGGTATGTCTGGGTTAATGCATGTTTTATTTCTGAGTTACTGCATGAGATATTTCTGGGTTAATGCATGTTTTATTTCTGAGTTACTGCATGATGTATTTCTGGGTTACTGCATGCTTTATTTCTGAGATACTGCATGAGATATTTCTGAGTTAATGCATGTTTTATTTCTGAGTTACAGCATGAGGTCTTTCTGGGTTAATGCATGTTTTATTTCTGAGTTACAGCATGAGGTATTTCTGGGTTAATGCATGCTTTATTTCTGAGTTACTGCATGAGCTACTTTTGGGTTAATTCCTGTTTTATTTCTGAGTTACTGCATGAGGTATGTCTGGGTTAATGCATGTTTTATTTCTGAGTTACTGCATGAGATATTTCTGGGTTAATGCATGTTTTATTTCTGAGTTACTGCATGATGTATTTCTGGGTTACTGCATGCTTTATTTCTGAGATACTGCATGAGATATTTCTGAGTTAATGCATGTTTTATTTCTGAGTTACAGCATGAGGTCTTTCTGGGTTAATGCATGTTTTATTTCTGAGTTACAGCATGAGGTATTTCTGGGTTAATGCATGCTTTATTTCTGAGTTACTGCATGAGCTACTTTTGGGTTAATTCCTGTTTTATTTCTGAGTTACTGCATGAGGTATTTCTGGGTTAATGCATGTTTTATTTCTGAGTTACTGCATGAGGTATTTCTGGGTTACTGCATGTTTTATTTCTGGGTTACTGCATGAGGTATATCTGGGTTAATGCATGTTTTATTTTTGAGTTACTGCATGAGGTATTTCTGGGTTACTGCATGTTTTATTTCTGAGTTACTGCATGAGGGATTTCTGGGTTAATGCATGTTTTATTTTTGAGTTACTGCATGAGGTATTTCTGGGTTAATGCATGTTTTATTTTTGAGTTACTGCATGAGATATTTCTGAGTTACTACATGAGATATTTCTGAGATAATAATGCAGGAGACACAACGTGAGACATTACTTAACACGCTCCACTGGTTACAACTTGCACAACTTTGGGATGGCATGATACTCTACAAAGAGATATTGCAACCTGCATCACACACTGCATGGCAACCTGCATCACACACTGCATGGCAACCTGCATGCAGCACTAAATATTGTTTGTTTTTGTTGTTGTTTGTTTTGTTTAACGCTTCCTCAGCAATATTCCAGCTGTATGACGGCGGTTTGTAAATAATCGAGTCTGGACCAGAACCAGTGATTGACATCATGAGCATTGATCCACGCAATTGGGATACGATGACATGCATCAACCAAGCCAGCTAGCCTGACCACCCGATCCCGTTAGTCGCCTCTCACAAGCATAGTCGCCCTTTACAGCAATCATGGGTTCCGGAAGACCTATTCTACCCCGGATCTTCACGGGGTTCCTGCACGTGCCTGGAGACACGTGTGAGTGCAGGATGCAATACCTACCCAGGCGGGTGTCGTCGTTGTAGTCGTACAGAGCGATGAGGTGACCAAACTCCGCAGCATTAGTCGCGGGAGATCTTTCAGCTCCAGTAGCCTTGTCAATAGCTTTTATACTCCTTTCAGCAACACAATGTGTAATTAATCAAAGTTACAGAAGTATAACTATTCATATATTCATGATATATATGTGTCTTGGATTAAACTTGAAATATTTAAACACTGATGTTTTAACTTAAATCACCCGAAAAGGAATAACCACCTGTTTGAATGTATAAATCACACCCCGACTAGTTGTTATGAGTGTGTGTGACATAGCCTACCTCCCAGATCTGGCGATGTAGTACAGGTTGTCTCCCCTTACCGCCAGGGCCACGGGGAACTCCTGGTTGTTCTTGCGTAGTTCCTTCAGTGATCGAGTCTGCAGGTTCATACTTTGTATCTTGTCTCCGTCAGAGTCAGCTATGTACAACGTTGTTCCTGAAACACGTTCACGTTCACTAACATGTCAAGGTCATGTCAAGGTCATCCACTCATGACGGCGCTATTGTTTAGTTTGAAATATTATGACTTAAAGTAAACACCTTGCATTGTAGTCGGAAGTCACTCTTTCAAGACCTTCATGTCGGACAGTTAGGCAGAATTGCCTCTGGTCGTCGTTTCCCCGACCTAAGATTCGTCCTAATTATGAGGGGCGGTGGGGTAGCCTTGCGGTTAAAGCGTTCGCTCGTCAGGCCCAAGACCCGGGTTCGATTCCGGTGTACCCTGCCGTGATATTGCTGGAATATTGCTAAAACGGCGTAAAACTATACTCACTCACTCACTCCTATTTGTGAGCTGTTGTCACCACTATTCCACAAGAAATTATTTCAATATGACCTTATTCCTTCTCTGTGATGCTTAGAGCTTATCAACCATATTACTATACACTTGGTGTTGAAGAGGATATCTTATCATTGTTATGTATAGTTCAGAATGCGTACCGTCAGGGTCGATCTTAAGGTCGCTGACGTACGTGAGGTCTGATGAACTCAAAGTCGATACGCCGCTTCCACTCATGTCTGCCATTTTGATCTCAGTTCCCTCGACCCACACAAGCAGTCTGAAAACAATAAATATAGATCCACCCTTCACGTTGTCTCACATCGGGTCTGAAACACTGACGATTTGTTGTCAATCAAAATTACGATTGTTCGTTTTCGTTACTTCGATTTTTTTCTCCTACTTTCAAGTATATTTCCAAAAAAGATAAACAATATTAAAACAGTATTGAAATTATGAAAACATATTAGATGTAACGAGAAGTAAAATCAAAATTTCTAAAAAATGATAAATAATTGATGAAAAGGAAGTTTTGAATTAAAAACAATTACTAGAATGCTTCCAAAGCGGCACCATTAGGCTTTCACTATACATATACACTGTGTACATAAAACAGACAAGGAACCTCATTTAGACGGTGATGCGGTCGTATTTCCACCTCAGTGAACGTTAGATATACATTAATACACCCTGAACAATAGACCCGTGAAGATCCGGGGTAGAAAGGCGATTATGCTTGTCGTAGAAGGCGACTAACGGGATCGGGTTGTCAGGCTCGCTGACTGGGTTAAATCAATGTCATCGATCCAAATTGCGTGGATTGGTGCAGGTGATATTATTCACTGGATTGTCTGGTCCAGAATAGATTTTTTACAGACCGCCGTCATATAGCTGGAATATTGCTGAGTGCGGTGTTAAACAACAAACTAACCAACCAACCCTGAATATTAGATGCCACAGTGTTTACAATTACATAAAGCAAGCAAGACGGATTTGTATTTCTTTAATGTCTTCATCCCACACCATACATCTCTGGTCAACAAATTTAAGTGCTAAAAAAATTTAGCCGCTGCCCCAAAATCTGTAAGGTGATGAAGGGCAGAAGATGGGACCGATTGTTATTTATTTATTTCACAAGCGTTGCTTTTATTGGAACCCCATTCTGACGGAATTACTGGTTCGCCTTGCGGGCGGTGGGTAAAACCAGGTCTCCAACCTATGCTGGTCGAAAGAGGCGATTTCATGAATCCAGTGGTCATGCTTGGTTTGATGTGTCATCGTACCCCGACGGCGCGCATCGTTGCTCATCAATCACTGGATTGTAAGACTGGTATATTTACAGTCATATACTCATTCCGCCCTGACATATTTGTGAGTGCGGCTAAACATCAACAGGAAAACAAAGAAACAACAAACCACAGTATATGGTCAGACATCTGATGGCGCTACTGTCAGCACTTACCCTGATCGGGGGTAGAGAGTTAGTGCCCCGGGGATCTGCGTGGTGGTTCTAAGGGTCCTAGTCGTCGCGCCGTCGTGGGTGACGACGTATACTGCCCCGCCGCCGAGAGGGGACGACACAGTGTAGAAGATGTTACTTGTGGAGGGGTCAATCACCATGTCCTTCACAATCAGCGTTTCTAAACAGGGATACTCGAAATATTTATACACATTTACATATCTTCAGATTCTTCGTGATAATAATTCATCAAATACCAATTTCCGATAGAGAGAAGAGAGGAGTGCTCAGAACATAACTTTCATGACAAGCTGAGAGTAAGTGACATGGGTTTACTGCCGCTTAGAAACTATTTCCGCTACTGCGCGTCAGCCTGATGTGAGAGGAAATCCCGAAGCCCTACACGCGCACATTTACCTCGTTGGTGAAGCACATGAAACATACGGCTTAGCTGATGTATATTTGTACTCTGTGTCTTATGATCTGTCCCTCGTGAATTAACAGTGAAATGTTCGGGATGTAAGACACATTACGCCATCGTTCATTCACTGACATCCACAGGAAGCACAGCTAGGCGAGCCCTGAAGACGAACGTACCGGTACTTAGGACAGTGTTTTCATCTGTGCCGTCCAAATTTGCCTTCTTGATGATGTGTCTCGTCGCGTCATACCACACTACCTTCCCAAGCCTCACGTCGAACGTGACGACACTGGGGTTGTTGTCCTTGAGAACGGGGACGGCATGCACGGCGCCACCTGCCTCGACTACTTGATGGATACCCATGGTTGTCTCGTCCAACACCAGGAAGAAGTCCTTCCGAACAACATCTGAATACAACATGCTGACTGAGTTAATGTGGTCAACAAAAGTGGTCATCTTGCCCTGGTCGTGCTTCAAGTCAAAAAGGTAACCACTACTAAGTGATGAGAACATTCACTATATAAAGAAAAAAGAACTTGTAGATAAATGCGCATTGCCACTTACACATCATGAGTTCTAAAATTGACATGGTATTCAGAAAGGTTTCCTGAAGTCGGTTTCGGCTTAGACGCGTAGGATTCTGTTCGGAACTAAATATGTTTATTTCTCTGAAATGAGCATTTCAGGCGAACCATATTTTTGCTCTCAAACCCTGAGGGTAAAATATTTGTTCCTATATTTCGTGGAACACTTTTTTATTACTATTTATTCAAAACTTACTACCTTCAGCATTCAAGTCAGCGAGAGGAGCAGTTGTTTCTCAACTTGAATATTGAATTTGTATCTTAATCTTCTGAATTGTGTACCATATAGTAAAACATAACATTATTGAAGTGGGGACTAGTGTAAGTTGACCTCTGCAGGGACCTACTTGAGCGACACGTCTTCTGATCCGACTGTAGCCTGAAGCCAAAGTTGCAGTAGCACTTGACGGTGTCCTGTACCGGAAGACAGAGCTGATCACAGCCGCCGTTGTCAACGTCGCAGACGTCTGTAACATCGTATACATCAACATTGTTACAAAACTACAACGGTTACCTCAAATCCTGATTCCAATGACCAAATATTTGGCGTTCGTCAGTTTGTGCGAGCCATCAGTGTAAAGGGTCAGTTGTAGATAACATGTCCCGTTATGCTGAATAATCACGTGGAAACAATCTATTTCGTTATACAATATTCCACTTCCAATGCCTGTAGTGGAGACTGTGGAGAGAAAGGATGAGTCAATACCGGGAAACTTGTTAGCTTATTGGTAGCACGAGCAACGCGTGAACGTTGCTCACGACCGCAGTCGCCACTATTCCTGACGTTCACAGCCGCTTTATACAGTATATCGGGTCTGGGCAATGCAAACCGTTGGTTAACATGATAAGAAACGTCTGGCGCCGTCGGGGTACGATGACAACGAAATCACTGGGCAGAGTAGTCGCTTCTTCCTTCCCACATGTAATAGAGTGCTGGGGCCCGATCAATAAAGCGCTCGTATGCAAGGCAACGGAGTTACGACAGTCGTAAGTCCATGCTAAACAACGAACTACTAACGATTTGTGGAACGGGCCCCTTGGGACATTTTCTGTGCAGGATCCGAACGGGGTCACATAGAGGCACCTGGTGAGATACCGATCGAAACGTCTTCATGCGTGGCGTTAATGTCACTGTTCAGTCACATACTTCCGAATACACCGTGAATGCAGTAGATTTACAGAAGGCCAGTGATTTCGTGAGACTTACTTATTACAGAAGGATTGTCGTCGATGTCGTAGGCCACGATGTCCGTCACGAAGGTCATCCCGGGGACGTTGAAGGGTGTGCTTCGCTCGAGACTATCCCCGTTGATAACCGACACATTTATCTTCACTTCACTGGAGAAGATGGCCGCCCACAGGAGGTAGTTCTTCATGCAACACACAAGGTCAGGTCACCCACAAGGTCATGTAATACACAAAGTCATTTCGCACCAGAGGTTTTGTCAGGCAAAAGTTTAAAAACATAAACTTAAAACGTAAGGTCATCTTACACATACGGTTATGTAAAATACAATTTCATGTTACAGCATGTCATCAGGTTATGTCACGCTCAAGGTCTCGCAACGTACAAGGTCAGGCCACACACATGTATCATGTTACACACGAGGCCATATCATACGTCAGGTTATGTCACATGCTATGTCACATCTATACTACCTTATGCCACACAATAGGTCATGTTACATACTAGTACAAGCCACACACAAGGCCGTGTCACACACACGATCATGTCATATGCTCGGTCTTTGTACACACTATGTCATGCAATGTACAAGGTCATGTCACACAAGGTCATGTAATACATATTATCAGGTAACATACAAGGCCATGCCACACACTACGTTATGTCAAACACTAGGCCATGTCACACACTAGGCCATGTCACACACTTCTTTATGTCACACACTAGGCCATGTCACACACTACGTTTTCTCAAACACTAGGCCATGCCACACACTAGGCCATGTCACACACAAAGTCATGCCACACACAAGGCCATGTCACACAATAGGCCATGCCACACACTACGTAATGTCACACACTAGGCCACGTCACACACTAGGCCATGCAACACACTAGGTCATGTCAGACATGTGGTCATGTGATACATATTATCAGGTTACATACAAGGTCATGCCACACACTACGTTATGTCACACACTAGGCCATGTAACACACAAGGTCATGTCACACATTAGGCCATGTCACACACTTCTTTATGTCACACACTAGGCCATGTCACACACTAAGCCATGTTACACACTACGTTATGTCACACACTAGGCCATGTAACACACTTCTTTGTGTCACACATTAGGCCATGTCCCACAATAAGCCATGTCACACACTACGTTATGTCACACACTAGGCCATCTCACACACTAGGCCATGTCATACACTAGGCCATGTTACACACTACGTTTTCTCACACACTAGGTCATATCACACACTAAGCCATGTCACACACATGGTCATGTCCCACACTAAGCCATGTTACATACTACGTTATGTCACATACTAGGTCATGTCACACACTACGTTATGTCACACACTAGGCCATGTCACACACTACGTTTTCTCACACACTAGGCCATGTCACACACTAGGCCACGTCACACACTAGGCCATGCCACACACAAGGTCATGCCGCACACAAGGCCATGTCACACAATAGGCCATGCCACACACTACGTAATGTCACACACTAGGCCATGTCATACACTTCTTTATGTCACACACTAGGCCATCTCACACACTACGTTATGTCACACACTAGGCCATGTCACACACTAGGCCACGTCACACACTAGGCCATGCCACACACAAGGTCATGCCGCACACAAGGCCATGTCACACAATAGGCCATGCCACACACTACGTAATGTCACACACTAGACCACGTCACACACTAGGCCATGTCACACAATAGGCCATGTCAGACACAAGGTCATGTGATACATATTATCAGGTAACATACAAGGTCATGTCACACACTACGTTATGTCACACACTAGGCCATGCCACACACAAGGTCATGTCACACACTAGGCCATGTCACACACTTCTTTATGTCACACACTAGGCCATGTCACACACTTAGCCATGTTACACACTACGTAATGTCAAACACTAGGCCATGTCACACACTACGTTATGTCACACACTAGGCCATCTCACACACTACGTTATGTCACACACTAGGCCATGTCATACACTACGTTATGTCACATACTAGGCCATCACACACACTACGTTATGTCACACACTAGGCCATGTTACACATTACGGTATGTCACACACTAGGCCATGTTACACACTACGTTATGTCACACACTAGGCCATGTCATACACTACGTTATGTCACACACTAGGCCATCACACACACAACGTTATGTCACACACTAGGCCATGTCATACACTACGTTATGTCACACACTAGGCCATCTCACACACTACGTTATGTCACACACTAGGCCATGTCACACACTAGGCCACGTCACACACTAGGCCATGCCACACACAAGGTCATGCCGCACACAAGGCCATGTCACACAATAGGCCATAACACACACTACGTAATGTCACACACTAGACCACGTCACACACTAGGCCATGTCACACAATAGGCCATGTCAGACACAAGGTCATGTGATACATATTATCAGGTAACATACAAGGTCATGTCACACACTACGTTATGTCACACACTAGGCCATGCCACACACAAGGTCATGTCACACACTAGGCCATGTCACACACTTCTTTATGTCACACACTAGGCCATGTCACACACTTAGCCATGTTACACACTACGTAATGTCAAACACTAGGCCATGTCACACACTACGTTATGTCACACACTAGGCCATCTCACACACTACGTTATGTCACACACTAGGCCATGTCATACACTACGTTATGTCCCACACTAGGCCATCACACACACAACGTTATGTCACACACTAGGCAATGTCATACACTATGTTATGTCACACACTAGGCCATCTCACACACTACGTTATGTCACACACTAGGCCATGTTACACATTACGTTATGTCACACACTAGGCCATGTCATACACTACGTTATGTCACACACTAGGCCATCACACACACAACGTTATGTCACACACTAGGCCATGTCATACACTACGTTATGTCACACACTAGGCCATCTCACACACTACGTTATGTCACACACTAGGCCATGTCACACACTACGTTATATCACACACTAGGTCATGTCACACACTGCGTTATGTAACACACTAGGTCATGTCACACACTACGTTATGTCACACTCTAGGTCATGTCACACACTACGTTATGTCACACACTAGGCCATGTCACACACAAGGCCATGTCACACACTAGGCCATGTCACACACATGGTTATGCCACACACTAGGCCATGTCACACACATGGTTATGTCACACACTAGGCCATGTCACACACGTGGTCATGTCACACTCAATGTCATGTCACACACTAGGCCATGTCTCACACTTCTTTATGTCACACACTAGGCCATGTCACACACTTAGCCATGTTACACACTACGTTATGTGAAACACTAGGCCATGTCACACACTACGTTATGTCACACACTAAGCCATATTACACACTACGTTATGTCACACACTAGGTCATGTCATACACTACGTTATGTCACACACTAGGCCATCACGCACACTCCGTTATGTCACACACTAGGCCATGTCACACACTACGTTATATCACACACTAGGTCATGTCACACACTACGTTATGTAACACACTAGGTCATGGCACACACTACGTTATGTCACACACTAGGCCATGTCACACACAAGGCCATGTCACACACATGGTTATGTCACACACTAGGCCATGTCACACACATGGTTATGTCACACACTAGGCCATGTCACACACGTGGTCATGTCACACTCAATGTCATGTCACACACTAGGCCATGTCACAAACTACTTTATGTCACACACTAGGTCATGTCACACACTACGTTATGTCACACACTAGGCCATGTCACACACTAAGCCATGTCACACACATGGTCATGTCACACACTAGGCCATGTCACACACTACGTTTTCTCAAACACTAGGCCATGTCACACACTAAGCCATGTCACACACATGGTCATGTCACACACTAGGCCATGTCACACACTACGTTATGTCAAACACTAGGCCATGTCACACACTACGTTATGTCACACACTAGGTCATGTCACACACTAAGCCATATTACACACTACGTTATGTCACACACTAGGTCATGTCATACACTACGTTATGTCACATACTAGGCCATCTCACACACTACTTTATGTCACACACTAGGCCATGTCACACACTACGTTATATCACACACTAGGTCATGTCACACACTACGTTATGTAACACACTAGGTCATGTCACACACTACGTTATGTCACACACTAAGCCATGTCACACACAAGACCATGTCACACACTAGGCCAAGTCACACAATAGGCCATGTCACACACTAGGTCATAACACACTCAATGTCATGTCACACACAACTTTATGTCACACACTAGGCCATGTCACACACTAAGCCATGTCACACACATGGTCATGTCACACACTAGGCCATGTCACACACTACTTTATGTCACACACTAGGCCATGTCACATACAAGGTCATGTCACAAACTACGTTATGTCACACACTAGGCCATGCCACACTCAAGGTCATGTCACACACTACGTTATGTCACACACTAGGTCATATCACACACTAGGTCATGTCACACTATAGGTCATGTCACACACTACTTTATGTCACACACTAGGTCATGTCACACACTAGGTCATGTCACACTCAGGGTCATTTAACATACAAGGTCATGTCACCCAAGATTAGAATGCACCTGTACTAATACATATTTTACACATTATATTAATGACGATATATGCGTAATTGTCAAGTTCATTTCAGCAGAGATGCATCTTTTTTCCAGTAAGTATTTCTTTCCAGTTGTAAATGAGGAAAAAAGGAATTTATGTTCGCATCTTTGAAGTTGAAAACGATCATCGAATTATGTTTTTATTATTAAATGACACAATTTAGAAATGTCCTTCTCTGGCTCACCATTCGCACAGTAAAGGACTGACATGAAGATATAAGGTTTCAGTCACAACTTGAACCTTCCATCCCGGTGTAATCAGGTAGAGATTTAAGGGGGTTACCTCAATAGACACCGCTTCAATTCAGGAAGAATGTTTCTCTGGCATGCCTTGAGCACCGCTACCCCGGTGGATAGGCTTACCTTGAACACCGCCACCCCAGTGTATGTGGCTAGAACGTCGGAGGGGTAGGCTCGCTTCCCGCTGCCGTCCGCACTGATCGTCCCCACCCGACCGCCCTCGGTCCAGTACAATCTGCATGTACACACATATATACTTAGTACTCCAATTTCTAAATGCCTCTCAAAGAAGTTATATACAGTTGATCAGTTGAACAAGTAGAGGTAGCTATTTGGGCAATGTTAACTAGTGTAAAGGTATATCAAAACTAACAAACATTGTTGTGAAAACGTTGCGCACAGTTGTGACGCGATGTCGATAGCAATGCGATAGTACCCTGCACAGTGAGTGAGCGACAGTATTGTTTCTCGCAGCTTTAACCAATATTCTAACGATATTCCGGCAGGAGAGTGAGTGAGTATGGTTTAACGCCGCTTTCCAGCAATATCACAGTGGGGGACACCAGAAATGGGCTTCACACATTGAAATTATTTCTCTTACAAATGTTACCGTTCATGAACAGATGGCGTGAGTTAAGTTAAGCTATATACCTGTCCCCCATGGGAATGTACGCACCTGTTCATGTGACGGTCAAACGTGAGCCGGACTGGTTGTCTGAGGTCAGCCCCGACCAACTCCGATGCCGCACCCCCTTCCACGCCCCCCTTCATAATCCGGGCCGGGAGAGAGGCAGATATCCAGTAGAGAGTGCTGAAACACGCCACCGTTATTGACATGGGACAGTACTTCATGATACAGTCGGAGACATCTGTGTATTACTGGCTGAAACAAACCTACGTTATTGACACAGGACAATACTTCATCATACAGCCGGAGGCAGTCGATGCATGCGTGTTAGTTTTTACCTTTGACAAATTACTAATACAGCGCGACGTCGTTGAGTGGAAGCCACTGGGACAGTTTTACTCACCGGTCCTTCGAATTGAGTGGAAGCCACTGGGACAGTTTTACTCACCGGTCCTTCGAATTGAGTGGGAGCCACTGGGACAGGTTTACTCACCGGTCCTTCGAGTTGAGTGGGAGCCACTGGGACAGGTTTACTCACCGGTCCTTCGAGTTGAGTGGGAGCCACTGGGACAGTTTTACTCACCGGTCCTTCGAGTTGAGTGGGAGCCACTGGGACAGGTTTACTCACCGGTCCTTCGAGTTGAGTGGGAGCCACTGGGACAGGTTTACTCACCGGTCCTTCGAGTTGAGTGGGAGCCACTGGGACAGGTTTACTCACCGGTCCTTCGAGTTGAGTGGGAGCCACTGGGACAGGTTTACTCACCGGTCCTTCGAGTTGAGTGGAAGCCACTGGGACATGTTTACTCACCGGTCCTTCGAGTTGAGTGGGAGCCACTGGGACAGTTTTACTCACCGGTCCTTCGAGTTGAGTGGGAGCCACTGGGACAGGTTTACTCACCGGTCCTTCGAGTTGAGTGGGAGCCACTGGGACAGTTTTACTCACCGGTCCTTCGAGTTGAGTGGGAGCCACTGGGACAGGTTTACTCACCGGTCCTTCGAGTTGAGTGGGAGCCACTGGGACAGGTTTACTCACCGGTCCTTCGAGTTGACTGGGAGCCACTCGGACAGGTTTACTCACCGGTCCTTCGAGTTGAGTGGGAGCCACTGGGACAGGTTTACTCACCGGTCCTTCGAGTTGACTGGGAGCCACTGGGACAGGTTTACTCACCGGTCCTTCGAGTTGAGTGGGACCCACTGGGACAGTTTTACTCACCGGTCCTTCGAGTTGAGTGGGAGCCACTGGGATAGTTTCACTCACCGGTCCTTCGAGTTGAGTGGGAGCCACTCGGACAGTTTTACTCACCGGTCCTTCGAGTTGACTGGGAGCCACTGGGACAGTTTTACTCACCGGTCCTTCCAGTTGAGTGGAAGCCACTGGGACAGGTTTACTCACCGGTCCTTCGAGTTGAGTGGGAGCCACTGGGACAGGTTTACTCAACGGTCCTTCGAATTGACTGGGAGCCACTGGGAAGGTTTACTCACCGGTCCTTCGAGTTGAGGGTGAGCCACTGGGACAGTTTTACTCACCGGTCCTTCGAGTTGACTGGGAGCCACTGGGACAGGTTTACTCACCGGTCCTTCGAGTTGAGTGGGAGCCACTGGGACAGGTTTACTCACCGGTCCTTCGAGTTGAGGGTGAGCCACTGGGACAGTTTTACTCACCGGTCCTTCGAGTTGAGGGTGAGCCACTCGGACAGGTTTACTCACCGGTCCTTCGAATTGAGTGGGAGCCACTGGGACAGGTTTACTCACCGGTCCTTCGAGTTGACTGGGAGCCACTCGGACAGGTTTACTCACCGGTCCTTCGAGTTGAGGGTGAGCCACTCGGACAGTTTTACTCACCGGTCCTTCGAGTTGAGGGTGAGGTCTGCTGGGGACGCCAACCCTCCGAACAACGTCCTTGAACTTGAGTTGGCGGTTGTTCCCAGCGCCATGATGGCGCCTCCACGCTTCTCCGACCAGATGACGGTGTTCGACGTGTAGTCCAATACCAAACCTGGAAATGTTATAATTCTATTATAGTCAGTCAGTGAACTGGTATGACGTCACTGTGGACAGTATTTCAGTTTCAGTTGTCAGCTTGACGTGGGAGAAAAGCCTAACATCACGTAACGGTCAACACTTTGGCTGACACCCGCGTGCACGGATTAATTGAACAAAGCACCATTTCACCATGTTGTTCATATTACGGAAAACAAAACATGAATAGTTTTGTGCATTTAGTGATTAAATATATAGTAGTTAAAGGACAAAATGAATTAAATCTACTTTCTTTCTTTCTTTGTTGTTTAACGCCCCTTCAGCAATATTCCAGCTGCATGACGGCGGTCTGTAAACAATTTTATATGGACCAGAGAATCCAGTGATTGATACCATTATCATCGATCGACGCAATTGGGATACGACGACATGCATCAACCAAGTCAGCGAGCCTGACCACCTGATCCCGTTAGTCGCCTCTTACAACAATCATAGTCGTCTTTTACGGCAAGCATGGGTTGCTTTACTCCCTGACTGAAATAACACGTTATGATTTAACAAGTTTCAGTCCGCATGTATAGATTCCGTTTCCGAAATACGTAATACAAAGTATCGTCTATGTCTCGAAGTTACTTGTTACCAGTGATCTCATTGGTCGTTGTTGTGACGAGGGAAACTGTTCCACCAATGATCTGTTTCAGAACAGATTTCCCCGAGGAGTAGTATATGGCCGACGACCTGACGTCCGGCGCCATGAAGGTGATGTTGACCCCGGAAGCAAAACACGTGACCTCTGCGGTGACGTAGGGATGGCTGTTGATTGTGGTGACGGGGATGGAGCAGATGTTGGTGCGGTTGGAGTAGATGATGCCCTTCCATAGCGTCGTGGATGTGCTTCCTGCAAGAATAATTATGTTGAAAATAATTGCAATAATTCATTTTGCTGAATGCCATTCACCATTTCCTAAACGTTCCTTCGCAAAGTTCAAACACATATTATCCCAGTCTTCAGCAGCCACTGCTTATAGTATGAAACAATTAACAGGATCGGGAGGTCGGGCTCGCTGAATGTTTGATGCATGTCATCGTATCCCAGTTAGATAGATCGATGCTCATGATGTAATTACTGGATTGCATCGTCAAGACTAGATTATTAACAGACAGTCGTCATTGAGTTGGAATATTGCTGAGTGCGGCGTCAAACAAACTAATAACAAATAACTGCATGTCTTGAGCTATGTCCCACAAAGGTCGTACTTCTACAATGCACGTTACAATTATGATCGTTGTGACACAGGACAGATGTAACAGATGGCAATAGAAAACGCCAGATTGCAAGCTTCCCGTGGTCCGCAATACTTGATATGCACTCTCTTAGTCGATTCTCTCGTGTTTTCTGCCTATATGTACAGTAACATATCCTTTTAAAATTGGCGTGACCGCAAATCTGCATTTTATATCCTGTAAGTGTTATATGTTTTTAATGTGTTCCGACAATGACTTAGAAATAAGTATTTTTCTATAAATATTAGCTTCCGCGGCGATGCTACAATCAAAGGTGGTTATTGTGATTTGAAACCTCTAATTCCTGGTAGAATTATTCATATGATCCACGTTCACAGTGCACATTAGTACAGAAAGTACATATCGTGAAATCGTGAAATCTTGGGTGCATGATTTCTTCTTATATCGTATGTGTCAACAGTCAAAAAAAGTTTAAAACGCCGCAATCTCACTCAGATTAGATGTTAGTGCTCCGTACCCCAACACAAAGGTATTTGCTTAGCGGTAGCGAGGACTCTGACCTGATTTTAATGTGATTTAAAGAGGTTTAAGTGTGTAGAGATAACTCTGACCTGTGCATGTCTTCTGATCAGCTTGTAGAGTGAAGCCCCCTTCACACAGGCAGGTGGCGCCACTAGGTTCATCAATGCAAATATGGCTGCACCCCCGGCTGTCACAGTCGCCTGCAGCACAAGGAGTCATCGATCTGAACGGGTGACAATTGTCACGTCGACTTAAGTGAGTGAGTTGGGTTTTACGCCGCTTGTAACAGTATTCTAGTTATATCACGGCGTGTCAGCTTAATGTGGGAGGAAAACCCGAAGTGATGCAGGGCTCAGACGTTTACCACTTCGGGGAAACCCACGAGCACGGGTATGGTGCTGACAAATCTAGAAACATAATTGGGGCGAACCGGGATTCGAACCCACAATCATAGGTTTCTGGCGTGGCCAAGGGACGCAACTCTGCACAGAGAATCACGGCGCCTTAGACGACTGGGTCAACCGTGCCCCCACTTCGACTTAAACAGTAGTTCAGTCATGTCACGACGCACGACACAATGATGTTTTCCACATGTAGAACAATGACGAGCCAACTCATTGTGAATTATAGATATCAATATATCTATTTGTGATATCTGTAAATAATCTTTTTTTGCATGGAAAAACGCAGATTAGGAATATTATAGAAGCAGAATGTTATGTTTAGCGTATTAAATGACAAAATGACTTGACATAATATCGTTAACAATTCACACACAAAAAATATATCCAAAACGTTCAATGTGTGGTAGACAGGTGTGACAATATTATTGACTGAGCACTTACTACAGTAAACTACGGTTATAACGAACTCAAAGGGACTACTAATTTTAGTTCGTAATAACCGTAATTCGTTATACGCATATATACAGCATAACTACAGCAAATAGTCGGGACCATAAAGTTAATTCGTTATATCCGTCAGTTCGTTATAAGCGTGTTCGTTATAACCGTAGTTTACTGTACTATCAAATGGGATTTACTGATACATCACAAATCTATTTATAGATATCAATAACATCATTTTGAATTTGAAATATCTTTATCAATTATTTTATCTTTACAATTGGCAATATCTAAAAATATATATATCAATAAATGAATCATTCATATTATTAAACAGGTAATAAATAGTGAAACGGCGTCTCATACAGGCATGCATCAGAGTGTAAGTATCTGCTGAATAAAACATACACCTCGAAAAAGGTTCAGCAACGTTTACTAATAATTTCAATTTTACATATTTCATAACACATATTTTATATTGTTTACAAGGTAACATGACCATAATAAAAAATAAATATAGAATCAGATATCGATAACCATGTGTCTTATATCTTGGTTCTATTCTCACAAATATCCTGGACCGTTTGTGACCGATTCTATGGCGAAAGGAGATACGTCCAATGAAAGCGCGAGAAAATCCGTGCTAAATTTACGATTTCAGCGGTGCATGTGATGACGTCACTTCCGATACGAAGCTATGGTGGCGAAATAGAAAGGAGATATAGTACACTGGCTTTCCGATGATGCTGGCTGTCTTTATCTGGTTTTTGTGTTTGGGGTTTCAAATCAACTCTACCCTCTGCATTGAAGAATAAAAAAAAACATGTTGTGACTTACTTTGTGTAAATGGCTGCAGGGACTGCGAAAACACCGCCACACCTACAGGTACTGCCGGCAAGACCAACTGACGTGCTGACGTCACGCCCGAGTTCTTGTTGACAACATTGATGGATCTATTATTGGCTTCCGTAAACACGAGATGCCCCTGAAACAGGTGGGGGTGTACTCAGGTATCACTCGTCCACACAATGGAAGGACGCAGCTAGGATCATTCGTAACGCCCCCGTCTAGTTTCCTTTTCTTAAATACTTGCTGTTCCAAGGGGAAGGGTGACCCTTCGTCTGAGTCAGTGCATTTCGCTATGCAGAGATGCGACCTTTTAATAATAAAACGCTAGACGAAACTATGATTGTCGGATTGAATTCAAGATTCCTCTTGATAATGTTTCCAGGTTTGTCAGCACCATACCCGAACACGTGTGTTTCACCGAAGTCCTCGATCTGCATCACTTCGGATTTTCCCCCGCATCACCTTACATCCGATATCAGTAACATAATATCAACATCGACACTGAACCCCACCCACACACTGACCCGCTGTGGTGTACCATTTCGGGAGTTTATTCGGCTCATCTTTTGCCTCCAGCTTTCCTTGCCTCACAACAATTAACTTTACTGCACTTTGCTTACTTGACTTGGGTTTACGTTACTTCATTTAACTTCACCAAACTTAAATACCTGTAACTTTATATCAGTCTACTTCACTATACTTAAGTATGTGTTACTTTACTTTACTTTTCTTCACTATACTAAAGTGCGTGTTACTTTACTTCAGTTTACTTCACTATACTAAAGTGCGTGTTACTTTACTTCAGTTTACTTCACTATACTAAAGTACGTGTTACTTTACTTCAGTTTACTTCACTATACTTAAGTACGTGTTGCTTTCTCTTGGCGATTTAGGGTTCGAACAGGACCATGTTTGTTGGCCAAATATATACGGTGGGCAGGTCAAGCGAATTGCAGCATTTGCGTGTCATCGTTCTCCATGACCCAAGCCTTAGCCCATTTAGTTTGTCCAGGCTCGATTAGTTTCAGGCGATAAACAACAAACATTTTGCACGGATATGGAGTTTCGAAATTTCGAATTTCGTTTGCGACAAGCTTTCCCTTTGGGTACACTGACTTGCTCTTACAAGCAGTACAGTTTATGTTTAAGCAAAGCCCTAATATCCGGTATGTAAGTTCCTGGCCATATAGTCCGGGTTGACACATGTAACGGTTTTTGGTAGTCAGTACATGGACGTTCCGACAAGAAGGGTTTCTGAACTAACTACGTCCGGATTAGAGAGGTTTCATTGGATTTTGTATAATTTCGATTTGTGTTGAATTTCATTTAATGCCCTTGTGTCATCAATGATTTTCAGGGACCAATTTCACATAGGTGTCTCCACTATTTTCCCTTTTATAATCACGCTTAATCGAGTTTGGGATCATAATCGCGAATAATCATAATTATTCTCTGGCGTGGACATACATGTACTGGTTGTCTCACCTGGAACACTGTCACACTCGTCAGACTGAAGCCAACACGTTGTAGTATCACCCGACGGCCTTCACCCTCAAAATTGCACGTCTCCAGGGTGGCACGTGCATGGTCGATCCAGAACAGCATGTCGGTTTCGGGGTCGACGGTGATGGCCATGGGACGCTGCAGCCCCGTCCAGATGAGCGGCCGTCTCCCTCTGCCCTGCAGAGTCGCGCGTTCTATCCGGGGTTTGCTTCCATGGTCCGTCCAGAAAATAAATCTGAGGTAAAATAAGTTGAAGGTATCATCTGTCTTGGATGCTGTTAACAGTGAGTGAGTTGGGTTTAACGCCGCTTTCAACAGTATTACAGTTATATCTCGAAGGGTCAGCTTAATGTGGGAGGAAAGCCCGAAGTGATGCAGGTCTCAGACGTTTACCACTTCGGCGAAACCCACGAGCCCGGGTATGGTGCTGACAAACGTAGAAACATAATTGGGGCGAACCGGGATTCGAATCCACAATCATAGGTTTCTGGCGTGGCCAAGGGACGCAACTCTGCACAGCGAATCGCGGCGCCTTAGACGACTGGGCCACCCGTGCCCCAGATGCTGTTAATAACGAGGGGTAGAGGATTACAATGATAGTGTACATGAAAACATATGGTCACCATTGTTGTGTTTCATTACACATGACTGCCTGAAAAAAGGTTATTAAAAAGTCCAAATCTAATAAGGCTTGATGATATTGGAGATCGGTATTGGAAGTTGCTTTCTTGTATCCAAACACGATAACTTCACTGTTGTGGATGTAGGGGATGTTCTGCCTTGGTTCAGCAAAAGTCAAACAAGACTTTGGGTCTATTACTTGTGTGAATACACAATACAAAATATTCACAGGGTGTCTTACAGATCTTGTGTCATCCTACTGCGCTTCCAATGACATGACGCAGAACGGAACCAGAAAGGGACCAGAAAGGGATGTTGGGGTTGTAAGGGTCAATGGCTAGTTGGGAAAATGATCCTTGAAGAGGCTGAAACTTACCACCGTAACCTCTCAATGTGTTGGACTGAACAGAAAATCTTATGATTCTGTACCTCATGAATGGATTTTAAGGTCACTGGAATGTATTGACCTCCCCGAGCGACTACATGTTTTTACTCAAGTCTTTGATAAATTGCTGGTCAACTCAACTTGAGATATGTTCGCAGGGGCAGGTAGTAACTTCGGAACCCATTTGTGTTGAAAGAGGAATATTTCAGGACGATTCTTTTAGCCCTTCCTTTTCTGTTCGTCACAGAGCAAAGAGGAAAGTTATTAGCCTGGACCTTAGCACAGATCCCGAACACCCCTTACTCACCTCCTTTATATGGATGACCTTGAACTTATTGCCAATGGAGGATCCCCACTAAAATACAGGTTCTCATTGTCGAGTCTTTTTCTAATGATATTGTCATGTCATTGGACTCGACAAATGCAGCAGTCTTCATCTTAACTCACATGCTTGTTCTCAATCATGATTTCACTCCAATTTGTTCAAGAAGTTCAACATGAATTATCAATATGGCCACAATGGCAGCCATATTGTAAAGTTTAACGCTATTTATGAAAATCAGTTTTCAGGAAGGAATGTCATTGGGTACGTGTATACTTTGTAGTGGGACTCGACACACACTACAACGCAAACTCCGCGGATAATTGGAAAATGATTTGCGAATAATTTCTGAATAATCCGCGGATAAGTAACAGTGCGAAATAATTCGCATTTCATGAATGTGTGGGTGGTAGTTAAAGCATTGTTTTGTCACGCTGCAATGCAGTTTGTTGTCCCATTAGAGTACAAAGTGAACCCTGTAATCTGGTGCACCTACATGTAGACGTATCCTGTCCATATATTGCTGGTCTATGTACTAACCCGTGTGTATACATATTATGTTCAGAATGATCATTTCAGTGTTGCAAATGCGCCAGTGTGGCAAAACAATGTACATGTATAATGTGTACATCTCTCAAGAGAAAATAAATGTATGATGAATAAAATTGAATGTGGGTGTATATTGTTCGTTTATGATAGGGGCGGTCGGGTAGCCTAGTGGTTAAATCGTTCGCTCGTCACGCCGAAGACCCGGGTTCGATTCCCGACATGGGTACAAAGTGTGAAGCCCATTTCTGGTGTCCCCCTCCGTGATATCGCTGGAATATTGCTAAAAGCGGCGTAAAACCATACTCACTCACTCGTTTATGATAATAAATAATCATGTTTAATTGTTCTGACGTTGAGTATTTACGTATTGTGTATACACGATATACATGTAGTTTTAACACTCCAGTGAAAATTCTAAACTTTCGCAATCCTCCATTTATATTTCGAGTTGAGATAAGCCATTGATCTTGTTTTGTGATTCAATTATTATCACCTCCCTTATATGAACATTTGATTTCCACCCATGTTCATTGTGCTGGAGAAGCTGTACACTATCACATGTAACCGAGTCACAGACACAGGTGATAACAAACTCCAACAACAAGTACACTGGGGCTTACATTGAACCCTACATTGGAGGTACATGTATATACCATGTACATCGGCAATATTTGGGTGCGGGCACGCTCGACAATATGATATTCCATCGATTGATGAAAAGCTGAATGAATATTGGGACATGAATGAAATATTTTTATGCATTGCCACTTTTGATTTAAAATTGGGAACAATTCAGAAAAAACAACAGCCTTTTTATGATCATTCCCATATTCTCCCTAATACGTTATATGTCTAATCTGTTAGTGAGATCCTTTAGAGTAGATATTGTACATAGGTTTTTAATTGTTTAACGATGTTTTAATTTGTTGATGAATACACGTACATGATGTTCGTAAACGCAATTCATTGTAACTGTCTCTCTGTATATGCGGATTGATTAATACCTTCAGTAAAATCTCTTCTTCTTATAATTAGGTCAGTTAACTCTTGAATGCACAATGTAACTCGCCTAAGAGAAAGTTGTATCTAATTACAGAGTCGGCCTTATTTACAGGTGCGTCTACAATACCTACTCTCGTTCAATGACAATCTGCCACATCACTCGTGAAGAAATAGTTATGCAGGTGTGGCTGTGGGCAAATACCTAGCCTGTATATGTTTGTTGATATATATATTACATATTTTCGTTACTTGGGGATATATAAGGCACAAAGACACAAACATTTATAAAAGATGAATTGGTCCCTTGATATACAACAAAGAATGAATCTTGTTTTTTCTCAGCATTCCTGTTGTGTACCATCGTTTAGCGGTTCATTCTAATACATGTATGTCTGGAGGTGATAAATATAAACTCTCGTCGACAATGCCTGGCAATCTGCCTGCTTCGGCTACCATACAATCCTCCCTGTCACAACTGTCGTTTAAATGACTGACGTATGTCGTGTACAGTCCTCGAATTTAATTAAAAAAACAGTAAGAACGATAAATAGACGATCAACTGGATTTTACATTCCTTATATCAGCTGACGGTACTGTTTTCGAACATGTGCACTAGACATAAGATTTGAAGACTAATAAAATCAAGTTTAAGACCGTACAGACAATAAATACAAATAAATTATTTCTTGGCATCATTTGGTGTGTTTTAGATGATGGTTATGATCTAAAATGTTATAACGTTAGAGTAGGAAGGAGAAACGTTAAAGTGTTTCATGACACACGAGATTTGGGAACACTGACATGAGCAATAAGATTAAGCAACATAAACAGCCATAAGAGGGTATAGAGAAAATGGTGGAAACCAACTGAAATAGATTTTGATGAAAAATATTGTACTAAACAATTTGCCTGTGCACAAGCGGTTCCTAAGGTTAGGATATTTCATAGACGACACAAACTTGTTTGACTATTTTGAGTTGTAGACTGGCGAATAGCAAGTGTTTTTCATGCTATGCCATGCTTCCATATACACATTACAAATGTAATACACCACCTGTGTGAAGCATTATGAAGCAGAGAACTGAGATGTCAAGTATTACCTGCATTTACACACGGATCAATATAATTCTTATGTGTATGCCCTTTCCTCTGAAAAACGTAACACTGAAGTATTTTGAATTGTAGTACATATATTAATATAAATATAGGCAGCTTCGATTAATAGGGATTGTGTACATGTAGTCACTTTCTCTAATTTGTCTGCTAATTAGAATTTTCAGTTGTTATGTTATTGCACTGTTACTAAAATCCGGCTGTTTTTGTTTATCGGGTGTGAATAAATGATTCGTCTGGTCATACATTTTACGATTCTTACCCGATCAACTGATTAGTGCCACATTATCCCAGCAGAGCGTTATTTTGTTATTATATACATGTATTGTTAATTGTAGTTGATATTTACATCACTGTATCTTAGAACGCAGAACTGATAACATCCAAACATATAATTAGTACACAAAGAATTGTTACACATCCAACAGAGCCAACATGTATGCTGTAATCGGTGCAACTTTCAGCTGACTAACGTCACATCTCTCATCACGTCAGCTCTATTCTTCAAGTATGAATTAATTTCCGAAGACATTTTGCATTAAAGGAATTAAAATAAAATGTGTAGTTAACAAACCTACGTGTTTCAAAAACTTATACACTCGTTCTACATTTCGTTCCAAAGGACACGGACCATTTAAATCGCTAGAGCGGGTCGTATACGACGTTAAAGTACATGTATAAAATATATAATTCTTAAATGCATAATACATATTCATGATGATCAATTAGTCTCGTTCCTAATTCGAATGAGCATATTCTGAGTCTAAATCCGCAAGATGACAGACACTTGCAATCCTTCTTTGTACAATGCATTATCATTTGTTCTCGTTCAATCTACTGTACTTAACATTTGAAGTCATTGTAAAGTTTCAATGAGTATTGTAATGGTGTGGTATTCTGAATTAATACAAGAATATAGATAGTATCAAGTCACCATATGGGACGTACATGTATAACTTGTCTTCCAACACCACGCTTGTGCCGAGGCCCGTGGTCATATAACTAATTTGTCCCATAAAAGGGACAATTACTTTCGCCGATACTCCACAGTAGCTCCATGGAGCGTTTGCGTAGCTAAGCAGAAATTTTACAAACATTATGCGTAGTCCCCGCGCAGCTCCCAAAGTTTTAGAAATTATTATTTATCGTAGGCGTCCTCCCCATCGGGAGCGGGCATTATTCTGCTACACTGTGACGTTACGTTCCTGCATTTGCACAAAGGGTGGAACGGTCTCGAACTATCTCAGGCGATGTCGTCCCGGTAGCGTACGCCATTCATATTACAGTTAACAATGAGGAGCTGTGTTCTCCATAAAATGTGACGCTACCCCATACCATTACAGTGCCACAATACAACATTGGGCGAATCGCTGGATGTAGTGTTCCCTCTACCATTTGCGTGCGGTTCTGCCACTAATCGGCCTCGTCCCAGGAATTGATCGAGCTTTCAATGTTGCAATCCGTCAATGCACCAACCGAATATGGTTGTCTTGGTGAGACGTCACAAGTGGACGACCGGCCACTGGCAAGTCATGAGTGTTGCACTGTTGTAGAAAACGTCTCCAAACAGATGACAATGTGTTTCGATCAGCATAAAAATGTCTGCCAACTTCGTTTTTCCCCATTCCTGTTTGCAGCATCTCCACGGCGCGTAGAGTTGATTTTCAGTAAGCCGTGCCATTGCGTAAGCGTTATTTATGGTTAAACAAAAGTGTTTTATGAGCATCAGATAGCTAACCAACCCTTGCGAGCAAAACGCGAGCATTCATATTGCGTGCCGTTCAAATTGTGAATCACAATCTTAAAGTCGAAGGGATGTCTTTATGACTATGTATTGTAAGATGCATCATATAATTTCAGAATACATTTTTTTTAACTTTCTATGAAGAACGTTCCTTTGTTTCGTTAGTATAGATAAAGACAATAAAACATAAGGTACAATATTTTGTGTCACGCTCTTGCTCACTGCAACAATTTCCTAAACACGCTGGGATTCCGGGGACATAGACTCCGACCGACCGAGCAGGGTGTTAGAGTGAGTGAGTACAGTTTTACGCCGCCTTTAGCAATATTCCAGCAATATCACGGCGGGGGGACACCAGAAATGGACTTCACACATTGAACCCATGTCGGGATTCGAACCCGGGTCTTCGGCGTGACGAGCGAACGCTTTAACCACCAGGCTACCCGACCGCCCCTAAGGGTGTTAGAGGCGAGTTTATGGATTGTGTGTCAGTTTCAGTGACTTGAGTGAGTTTTGGATATTGAACTTAACAGTGTCGATCGCTGCTCATAATATCATCCCCTGGATTGCCCATGCAAACTTGATGATTCACAAGCAGTCTTCATATAACAACAAACAAACCCAGTTTTATTGTATGAGTTGTACGAACCTTAGTTTAGGGGCCACGGCAATACCATACGGCTTCTCCAGCGACTTCTCCACAATAATCCTCTGTTTATCATTGAAACTTATCCTGCTCGGGTCACGTGGTAGGGCCTGTAAGCCAATCCACGAATAGACACTGTCACACCAGTACACATTGAAATTCAACCAATCAACGGCAAGTTCTCCTATTCCATGGGACGTGCCGACATGGGCATATGTAGCAACAGCTCTTGGCGGCTCGTCGTCGAACAGGAAGATAGTCCCGGTGCCCTTCTCGCCGAACAGCAGATAGTTGTTTCTGAACAGAAAGGATGCTGAGGCAAGGTCAGTGTCTCGGAAAGTCACCTTCTGAAGGTCGATGGATGTATCCCCGGAGAGCCAGCCGAGAGTGTTGTTGATATACAAAAGGTTGTTACCATCACACCAGAAGAGGGTGTTGTTTGGAAAACCTGAAAACAAGAAAACATGATACCGTGTTCAGATGTCATGGACATTTTGTTGTGAGAAAATATTAAAGTGTTTCTGCTCCTGTCAATGAAAAGGGTTGGATGTCCACAAATTAAATGGCGTGTCCCTAGAACAATGCTGATCACTGTTCGCCCTGCGCCATAATGCTAGAATGAAGCATGTATTGTGGTGACTGACCCACACTATTCGCCCTGCGCCATGATGCTAGAATGAAGCATGTATTGTGGTGACTGACCCACACTATTCGAAAAGGAATGGTAGCGCATGTTCCCTTGGGATTTAAATGTAGTTCAGGACATAAACCCGAATATGCATAAAATAGGTGTCGGAACGAATGGTCGACGAACCCCAAAATGCATGCAATACCAGACTGTAGGCTAAATTAGGCTCACTCACTCCTCCTCTTGTCTGGAGAAATAGGGAAACCATGTTGATGTTTATCTGTATACATGTACGTTCAGTGCTTGAGTTGATGTACCTTTAGGCTTTTGTTTCTTGCTGTGTATATAATTGATTATTTGTTAATGGTTTTTGGTATTTGCTACTAAACCTGTCTCTGGCCTTTCTGTTATCGTATGGTGCGGGATCAACATGCATGCTTTTACGTACTCGTTCTGCTAACAGTCGGATGTCTTTACTATAAACACACGCGACAACACTGCCCATAATCATACACAATCTCTGCTGTGAGCTATACAGGTATCTCATAAGCATGTGTTTATGACTCGCTATCAATTAGTGATGATACCAGGTGTCTTCGACAAGGAAAGCCCTTGGTTCACCTCAATAACCACGGGGACATATGGTACAAGTGAAAACAGAGAATTGCATCAGACATCATGTCACTTATTTGTCAAATTTGGAAATTGTGTCCACAGGTCTATCCTAATACTATTAGCTTGAATGTTGTAATCCTGATCAAACACATTGTGTGTATGCGTATGTCTCTATGACTCAAACAGCCTGCTTTGTCATTCTAGTCCACAGTCACACACTTGTATCATCTGACACAAACAGCCTGCTTTGTCATTCTAGTCCACAGTCACACACTTGTATCATCTGACACAAACAGCCTGCTTTGTCATTCTAGTCCACAGTCACACACTTGTATCATCTGACACAAACAGCCTGCTTTGTCATTCTAGTCCACAGTCACACACTTGTATCATCTGACACAAACAGCCTGCTTTGTCATTCTAGTCCACCGTCACAAACTTGTATCATCTGACACAAACAGCCTGCTTTGTCATTCTAGTCCACAGTCACAAACTTGTATCATCTGACACAAACAGCCTGCTTTGTCATTCTAGTCCACAGTCACACACTTGTATCATCTGACACAAACAGCCTGCTTTGTCATTCTAGTCCACAGTCACACACTTGTATCATCTGACACAAACAGCCTGCTTTGTCATTCTAGTCCACAGTCACACACTTGTATCATCTGACACAAACCGTCATCTTTGTCGCCGTCGTAAACCAGCTGTGAGTGCAAGCTCCCCATTCTAGACTAGGAAGTGTTTAAACATATTTATTTCACAGAATGCGTGAAGCTGGATTGGTAAACAAGTAAAGACTTATGTCAATACCGCTCCAGTAGTCATAATATGTTATCAGTTATAACGCAGTCAAGGGCGAGCGGGGCGGTCGGGTAGCCTAGTGGTTAAAACGTTCGCTCGTCACGCCTAAGACCCGGGCTCGATTCCCGACATGGGTACAATGTGTGAAGCCCATTTCTTGTGTCCCCCGCCGTGAAATTGCTGGAATATTGCTAAAAGCGGCGTAAAACCATACTCACTCACTCAAGGGTAAGCTCTAAGGTAATTATTTTGCATAAAACCACACTCTGAACGTGAAGTAAAATGCTGAAGCAAGAATGAGTTACGATAGATTGCATTTAGACCAGGAAGTTGTCTGATAATACATCATATTACTCACAAATACGCCACTATGCCCTCGCACTCATGCATGCTATCTGGAGTAATATGTTACATAATTCACACAATACCGGGGTGCTACCGGAGAAGATCTCACGATCTTAGACTGATCTTTGTTAAAAGGAGGACTTCACGTGACAGATGCACTTTATATATCTTGTGTAACACCGTCAGTAGTTGCACACTTAATGCAACAACAGTAGGCCTTGTTTACAACGTTCTCGAAATATTTAGTAAAACGACATTGTGGTTCTACTTATGGTGTAACATTATGGTTCTATATATGATGTTACATTGTGGTCCTGTATATGTTACACTGTGGTTCAATATATGATGTACATTGTGGTTCTACTTATGGTGTAGCATTTTGGTTCTATATATGATGTTACATTGTGGTTCTATATATGATGTGCATTGTGGTTCTATATATGATGTACATTGTGGTTCTACTTATGGTGTAACATTTTGGTTCTATATATGATGTTACATTGTGGTTCTATATATGATGTGCATTGTGGTTCTATATATGATGTTACATTGTGGTTCTATATATGATGTACATTGTGGTTCTATATATGATGTTACATTGTGGTCCTATTTATATTTATTATATCTATTTATTTAGTATGTAAGAAGTTACATTTTGGTCCTGTATATGAGGGTACATTTTGGTCCTATTTATGTGATGTTGTTCTATTAATGATGTTCTATAACATGGTGCTTTGTATGGCATTACATGGTAAATGTCTTCTTTACAGTATGGTGTATCTCTTTTATAAGAATACAATTCTAGTCATGATGTTACTATGTTTATGTGGTTACATTGTAGTTTTATTTAAATTGCCAGTGTGTAGTACCAATAATGACGCCACATTGAAAACCAAACCATAATGGTTAAGATCCTAACATACACACCAACACCATGCAGTTATATGTGACCATATATGAACCAGAATCTCCTCAACATGACATCACAAATACATGTAAACCCTAAACACCAACACCATGTGACCATATATGAACCAGAATCTCCTCAACATGACATCACAAATACAGGTACTCCCTAAACACCAACACCATGTGACCATATATGAATCAGAATCTCCTCAACATGACATCACAAATACAGGTACTCCCTAAACACCAACACCATGTGACCAGATGACGTGTGTTATCTGCAGACATGTTGTTGTTGACCGAGCTCATGTGGGCAGTGTTATATATACCCGATATTGTCATGTCGTGTCGTCATTCGTCGTGTTTGGCTGTATCGTAATATGGCTAAATATTGTCACCATGTCCCGATCGTGGATACGTCAGGACGATATCGCTTTAGCCCCTCTCAGCCACCGTGTCAGAGTGATGGTTGAGGGTTGGATGTTGTGACGTCAGGGTTATATAAGCTAGGGCTTGATTGAAGGGTGTTATTCATACCCGTACAGAAGCTACAGATGTTGTGACACCAGGGTTATATAAGCTAGGGCTTGATTGAAGGGCATTATTCATACCGGTACAGAAGCTACAGATGTTGTGACGCCAGGGTTATATACGCCAGGACTTGGCTGAAGGGTGTTATTCATACCCGTACAGAAGCTACAGATGTTGTGACGCCAGGGTTATACACTCCAGGACTTGACTGAAGGGTGTTATTCATACCCGTACAGAAGCTACAGATGTTGTGACACCAGGGTTATATAAGCTAGGGCTTGATTGAAGGGCATTATTCATACCGGTACAGAAGCTACAGATGTTGTGACGTCAGGGTTATATACTCCAGGACTTGAATGAAGGGTGTTATTCATACCCGTACAGAAGCTACAGATGTTGTGACGCCAGGGTTATATACTCCAGGACTTGACTGAAGGGCGTTATTCATACCCGTACAGAAGCTACAGATGTTGTGACGTCAGGGATATATACGCCATGAGTTGACTGAAGGGTGTTATTCATACCAGTACAGAAGCTACAGATGTTGTGACGTCAGGGATATATACGCCATGAGTTGACTGAAGGGTGTTATTCATACCCGTACAGAAGCTACAGATGGTGTGACGCCAGGGATATATACGCCAGGACTTGATTGAAGGGCGTTATTCATACCGGTACAGAAGCTACAGATGGTGTGACGTCAGGGATATATACGCCATGAGTTGACTGAAGGGTGTTATTCATACCGGTACAGAAACTACAGATGTTGTGACGCCAGGGTTATATACGCCATGAGTTGACTGAAGGGTGTTATTCATACCCGTACAGAAGCTACAGATGGTGTGACGCCAGGGATATATACGCCAGGACTTGATTGAAGGGCGTTATTCATACCGGTACAGAAGCTACAGATGGTGTGACGTCAGGGATATATACGCCATGAGTTGACTGAAGGGTGATATTCATACCGGTACAGAAACTACAGATGTTTTAACACCAGGCGGATCTGAATGAGTTCTCTGACGCCATGATGAATGCTGAACGTGTCACGACGTTTGACCCGTGTCTGTTGACTCGGCGCGATTTAGTAACCAAATCCGAGTAAACACTTCCTCTGACGCACTAAGTTTGAATACAACGACCAGATAAAGGCAGCGATACACTATTGTAAACACATTCATGCATCAGTCTATTTTGGCCTCGAAGGAAAAACTGCCCGTTTTAGTTTAGCCGTATCACGCGACTAGTTCTTCGGAAGTGCAGGAAATGTTAAGTTACAGTTCAACCAACTTCAAATTAAAAATACTGCTCTGAGGAAAGTTAGCTGCTGTAAAATGAAACGTTGCAGTAAAACAGTATTAGGGAAAAGTTTTTAAAAAGTTATTTCTTTTGTGGTTGTATGATTTTGTGTGAATGTTTGAGCAAGTTGAGTTGGAACCACTCAAAGGCATTCTATATAAGGAACGGGATAAAAAGTACGAAGAATGAAGTGTATATTTGAAATCACTAAACAAAAGTATACATATCAAGATGACGTGTGTTATCTTCAGACATGTTGTTCTTTGAAATCACTAAACAAAAGTATACATATCAAGATGACGTGTGTTATCTGCAGC